GGAGAAACTTTTGTAGGGGGTTGGCTAAGTGATTAAGAACATGAGAGAGAGGGAGTTGGAATGGGACTCTAGTGAAGAAGAGAGGGCTGCCACGTGGCTATATGGAAGGTTGGGAAGGGGTAAGGGAAGAAGGAGAGAGAGTTAAGGAGAAGCCAGGATTGGGGTAATGAAGCAAGGAGAGGGCTGTTAACGTAGCCTATATCGCTGTATAATATAGTACCAGTGGGGACCCGTGCAATGCATGGGCTTTGTTAAAAAAACTTGAGGCAAAAGGAGTTAATGTGCAGCTTCGGTAGGCCTAAACCGAGCCCGACCCAACTCAACCAAAGATTTGCATAGGTTGGGCTTGATTTTAAAAACATCAAGCTAGACTTGGGACAAAAAACTCAAATCTAACCTAAATTCAGGTTGAGCTTGGGTTGAGGCCATGGGTAGCTCAAGACTGATTCGGTCAAATTGAGCCTACACAACATTTTGTGATATACATATCTACATAGAAATTGAGCTACAAAGCTCAACACGTCCAATCCTAAGCCCAACCCAAGATGTTGTGTTAAAGCTCAAGTTAGGGCTAGATTGGTAAGACAAAATTTACTAGTAATTTTCAATAACTACTAATAATTTACTAATATATAACAATAATAGAATGACAATAATTAATGATAATTTACTAATCTTGGCCCAATTTTGACAACCCGAAGTTAAGCTTGAGTTTACCAACTTAGACCCAACCCGAGCTTAACCTAACATCTTGGGTTAGATTTGGGCTTGGGCATATTGAGTTATATAACCCAGTCTATTGTAAATGTTGGCGTGAGCTCAAATGGGTTGGATCGAGCTCAATAGGTGTCAACCCAAGCCCAACCTAAAGCATTGGTTAGCCTTGAGTTTTTTGGCCTAAACCCAACTTAAATTTCAAAAACTCAAGCCCAACTTTTCCAAAAGCTTTGGTTGCACTGGGTCGGGCTCATATTAGGCCCACCCAACCCAAGCTACACCCCTAAATCCTTTTGCTTCAAATTATTTTAGCAAAATTCGTGCATTGCACAAGTCCCCACTAGTAATTAATTACACTAAATTTAATTTATAGTTATTAGCAATAATATCAATTACTAAAAACAATAATATTTATGGTATTTTCTAATTTTTCATGAAAATAGCTAATGATTAATTTTAAATTTTTAATTAATATTTAAAAATTATGAATACATTTATAATTATTATTAATGATTATTAATTATGAATTAATAAGTTTTATAATTCTTATTTTATAAAAGAAAATGTTACTATTATTAATTGTAATGTTTAGTAATGTTATTAATTAATAAAACTATTATTATAAATTATTAAAAAAGTAATAAAATAATTAATTATTATTGGTAATTAATTAATTTTTAGGTAATATTTCAATAACATTAATTATTAAAAATAGTAATATATTTTGGTATTAAACTTTTGTAATTTTGAATTAATGATGAATATATAAATAATGGATTTTAATTGAATCTTGAGAGTTTTTAATTAATCCCAGTATTAAAATGGTAATAAAAATAATTAATTTAACTATTCATGAACAATTATTAATTTTTTAATTTTCATATTAATAAAATAATTAATTATTATCAATAATTAATTAATTTTGGTATAAGTTATAATAAAATAAAATGAAAGTATTAATTATAAACAATAGATAATATACCACTCAAAGTAAATGGGTCGTAACTAGGTTGGATTAATGAACCAAACGAGTAGTGGAGAGAGAGAGAGAGAGTTGTGTCTTAGAAGTGACGAAGTGGGGATTAATTAAGAGTATAAAAAAGTTAGTTATGAGCAATATTTAAAGAATGAGGAAAGGTTTTAGGAATTAGGAGATGATGTGGCTTAAATAATTGAAAAGTTGGGTTAGAAAGTGAGAGATTTTAAGGGCAATATATTGGAGTGTGGAGAGATTTTAGGAAGAAGGGATAAATTGAGAGATATTAAGAATGCTTTTAGCAAGGAAATTTTAAAGACCAATGACTTGGTAGTTTAGGAGCGGTGGGAATGGAGAGTGAAGAGAATTAAGGAGAGAGCAGCATGGGGGGTTTGGAGCAAGGAGAGGCCCTTTGACATGGACCACCTTGTTTTATATAGAATAGATAGTCAGATAGATAGATAGATAGATTGATTGATAGATGATATAAACGTTTACAGAAGGGAGATATCTCCAATCTAAAATGAATATAAAAAATAAGTTCGATTATAATTTGTTTGACCCTATTTTGTATAGACTTGTAGGGATTTTCTGATGAGTCCAAACACAGATGATCCAAGGCTGTGTTTGATTTGAAGGAAAATGTAGGAAAAGGAAAGGAAAGGAAATGTAAGAAAACCTTGTATGAGCTTCCCTATCTTTCCCTTCCTTTCCCTACCTTTTCCTTTAAACCAAACATAACTTAAGAGGATAAAGGTGAATAAGTGGTAACTGATGTTAACTTGGTAAGCAAATTGAGAGCGCTCAATGAGAAGTTATTTTGGAGAGCAAAAACAGTGATAAAAAGAAACAACACAAAGTGTACAATTCCAGAGAAAGGTACAATTATTACATTACTTAATTTTGAGAAATTACATCAATTATAAACTGAAATGGATAATTCTCAAACTGACTCAAATTCTTCTATCCTAAAGCAATTCAAACATTACATTTCAATCTTATCTCAACAACTCAGCATATCTTATCCTCATCCGTATCTCATTCCTTAACCTGCCCCTTGAAACACATGGGATCAAACATCTACGTGTGTTTCACATCCAAAGCTCTAAACGATGATGATGTTCCAATGTGGTGATGATGTGGCAAAGCAATGACATATCATTTTAGTATAGGTCATGCTACATTTTCAGGAGAGAAAGCCTTCATAGGCTGGCTACACAATTGGGCCACATGGGTCAAGTTAAAGATGGGCTAAAACAGGCCAAAAGAGGCCTTATTGGGTCAATTAAAATGTTTTTATGGACTAGCTTCTTGAGCCAATACAATGAAGCCTAATGTGCCACATTGGGCCAATGCAAGAGTGGGCCAATAATGACCACACAAGGTCAACAAAGAGCTTAAAGAGGCAAAACCGAAGATGGACCACTATGGGCCAAGACGGAAATGCTGTAATTGTTTTTTTTTTTTTGGTTCTGAAATGGGATTTCATAGACCGAAAGAATGCCTTAATAGGCAGCAAGGAGCCTCAGTGGGACTGAGAATATAATAAAATGGATATCAGTAATTAGAGAAGAGCATAGGTTTAATATGCAAAATAGCCTGAACCAATTACTGATATCCATTTTATTATAGTTGCATAATAAACCTATGAAAACTGAATATGGTCCGCGCACGGATCCGAATTTTAAGATTTACCCCTTTAGGCTCAGCTTGAAACGAGTATAAACACAAATATATACAGTGTAAAACCCTGTATTTTATATTATTTTGTATTTATTTACACTTTATATATTTGTATTTATACTCCTTCCAAACTAAGTCTTATGAAATGGTTTGACCAATTCTAACATATTGCAAAATTTACTGATATGGATATATATTAGATTTCGGGGCCATTTCGGGGCCGTGCTTGAATAGTAAGCAAGAATGGAAATTGTCAACCGGGATAACAATAATCTATCTCATTGAACATACAAATATATAAAGAACAAAATTGCTTTTTGAAACAGTGCGGACATCTGCTGTGAGTTTGTGACCATTGTTGCACAAATTCTCACAACAGTCTAATCTTTTAATTGTTTTAAAATCAAAAGACAGGGTTTGGTTGTATTACTAGTGTGTCCATGTTTTATTTATTGGATGGTCACAAGATTTTGCTACAACCATGATTTCAAATCTAGACTATTATTTCAAAATCTAACCATTTGAGGTTCCTGCCCACGCCTACCCATAATACACTACCCCCATCAATTGGGAATATCTCTCCCTGCATAATACTATGCAGAGGATGAGATGTATTCCATGTATGGCTGAGATAAACGTGGGCAGAGTTCTCATAGGCAGGAGATGGGAACTCCTACATATTCCACTCTCTATCCATTAATGGGCCAAGTTTGAACCAGGAACACTTACCCCAAGGTCAGAACAAACCTTTTTTTTTTTTTTTTTGAGTAAACTAAGGGATCTTTGCCAATATATATTATTTTACTTTTCAAAATGGAAACAACTGCTACATCAAAAAAGCAATATGCTTTTGTTTAGGAGTGAGCAAATGTGTTAATTCTACCCTGAACCCATTGGAATCGGCCTCGAAATGGCCTTGTTAAGGTCAGTTCCATTGGTTCTTGATAGGGTTGTTCACGGGTTGAGTTGGTTGGTTTAATATATTTTTTTCAACTGACCTGACCTGTTTGGGTTACTTAAAGAATAAACCAAAACTGACCCAAACATAAAAGGTCGATTTATCATTGTTTGTAAACAATCCTAAATTTGATATAAAATTTTCCACTTAAAAAAGAAAAACAATTTTAAAAAGAAAAATAATTCTCATTTAACTAATATTTTATTGTTCTTCAATATTAAAAATAAATAACTAGCTAAAAAGAAAAAAATAGGATAGAGAATACATAATTAGGGAAAGACTAGGAAAAAAGTAGAAAATGGGATTACCTACTCAGAAACTACGTAACTCGGTTCTTCAACTAATTTTTTTCGTTATCCTTCCCTGTGGCAGAAATATATATGAAAGATTGTACGGGGAACCTAAGTTAAAAAATAGTGTTTGTTCAACAGAAATATTACCTTCCAGTGAAATGACAAGGCCAGATTGGTCTAGCCTAGCCCAAATGGTGGAATATAAACTGATCCGTATAGCCGGTATAGGCTATTGCCGCCTGCAGCAGTTGACTCTAAGAGCCCATTTTGTAGGGCTGACCGGCTAAGCTGAAGATTGAGCTTAGCTGGTTCAGCAACCAGCTAACCTCTCACTCAATAAGCCAAGCTATTCAAAGAGGCTAGGACTAGGATGAAGCGGAAACCCACAAAATCTCTCACTCAACCACAAACCCACAAATCTCCTGCTGAGTACAGATTGAATGAATACAATCTCTCTCACTCAAGCACAAACCCACAAATCTCTTGCTGAGTAAATGAATACAATCTACCCATCCACTTCCCAAGATGGATGAACGAAACGCAACTATTATCTTATATTGGGCGTTTTTCAGGGAATGAACAATCTTCTGACTTTGTGAATGAGCCTTCGACATATTGGGCATACCTTGTTTTCTCCCTCGACAATCCTGCAAAAATTTATCCTTTGTAAGCTACCTTGATATATAGACTAGACTCCGTATGACTTTTATGTCAAAAAGCAGTCCCAACTCTTCAATGGTTTACCTCTCAGCACATGTATAGCAGGTGGCAGAGTGACCACAAGGAATAAAGAAGCAATTGCGTTGTTCATCATAGCAAATCACACATATCTTCCCATCGTACAAATCTTCTGAAGAGCCATGCATACTTGACTCCGAATCTTCTTCTTCGCCTGTTCCATAAGAAAATGGAATTGCCTTCTCTGGCAGTAATGGACTGGTCTCGTTCTCTCTTACTTCATCTGTAACTTGTTCCACTGTTCTCTCGCCTTCACAAACTCCAAAGTATTTCAAGATCAACAAAATAGCAACCAAGATAATCCCTGCAGTGCAGAAACAAAGCATCGTATATCACTGAGTCCCAGGAATTAAACCTTAGAAGGTCAAACAAAGAAATGGGTATGTAACTGGTATACCTAAAATCACAACATAAGTAGCCAGGCGAGCGATGAAAGAGAGCTCAATATACCATCCATCAAAATCACCCTGTGATTAATTAAGCATGAACAGTTGAGAAGTTTCTTACTTAATTTCTGTTTTAGAAACTGAAACAATAAAGTGAATGAGATAGAGCTATTACATTGTCGGGAGTTGTTAGAATGAGATAATGAGAATTGGGGAAAAGAAGTTCGAGACTGCACGATCCATTTATCGTGGAACATTTGCTTGCTGCCTTGCTGGTGTCATACATCTTAGACAGAACATTGGTGCTCAATTCCATTATGACGCTCTTGGGGTTCATGTTCACTGCGCCCACATAGTAACTGTCGTCTTCCTCTATGATGTATTCAGCTTCCCCATTGCCTACAATTCATCACTCTCTCATGTTATATTGTTATCATTCTAGAACTCTATTAAGAATCAAGGATCATATTCATCAATTAAACCATAACAGATCAACAATCACTTTGAGGAAAATAATAATAATAATAATAATAAATAATAATAATAATAATAATAATAATAAAAAGCAGTAACTTGTTCACAAAAAATAAGGCTGATTAATTAATGGGTTGTTGATTTTGTAAGATGAAGAACTCTGTGAAGTGTGTTCTAATTAATAAAATGTTCTCCTTGAATGAATAGACTCTATTACCTTTTGTTGGACTGCTGAACACAAGGGACTTAGAAGAGTTTGTGGAATTTGGGTCCAGTGTTTCAAAATCCTGCTCTCCTGTGGAATAGGCAGACGTAATTAATTAATGGGTTGTTAATTTTGTGGGATCGAAGAAACAGTAGAAAATTAGGACAAGATGGCATTACCTTTAATTACAACCACTTGGAGGTCACTGAAACCACTACTATGAACTCCCCATCTTAAATGAATCCTTGATCCCTTGTTCAACCACAATGAGAATCCCTAAAAGAAGAATATTTCAAGCCTGAACTAATTTTGATCTATCTAGTCAAAATTGAGGAAACAGAGACCAAAAGAAAATGCAAGAATTAAAAGTCAGAAAAAGAAACAGAGAGTATTGGTAGTGCATATAACCTGTCGACGGTAGGATCCAACAATCAGATAATTTGAGACATTCCAACTAGTTTCCAAGGTCAATTCAGGCTTCTCTGAGAACCCATAAAGAAGAACCCCTTTCTTTGCATCATCTCTGACCTGTATCGTCTCCACGAAGATCGAACTTTCCTTCAACAAGCGTGACGAGTTTGGTCCCAACATGAGATGAAGATTCCCATAATAGCCATAGTGCAGACTGAGAGAAACTGCAATAAATAAGGGGAGGGGACATTTTGCTAGTTTTAGAATCAAAGATCTGTCAAGAAACATGGCATAGAAAAAGGATAAAAAAGAACAAAGATTACATGCCACATAGCCATAGAGTTAAAGGGGCGATCAAGAAGGAACAAGATTCTTGCCAACGATACGAGAAGCTCGGAGATTGGAAAGCTGGTCTGTTCATGGCCGCACTGTTGACCAAAAATTGAATGGATTAGGAAATCGGGAGATGGATGGAGGACTGCTCTGCATCTAGAGAGAAAGAGAGAAAGAGGGAGAATGATGATGACGACGACGACGATGGTCTAAAGAGGAGATTGACGGGTAGGGGAGGAAGACCAGTGGATAATTCAAAGGTCTCTCCACTTCGTTCAACTAACAGGTTTTTTGAGTTCGTACTTTGGCGGGTAAGTAGGATAAAGATTTTCTTGAACGTTAGGTGGTTGACTTAATGCGGTTAAACCGTTTTTGGCTTTTTGCAAAGCGAGTGCTGGCGCCACTCAATCCTACATTCCTACTCTCTCCACGTGATCGGCTTCAGTCAGAGCTAGGCCCGTTCGAACCATGTTCGAACACCCTTTACAACCTTTCATCGGGAATATCTCCGTACGTGCTTTATTTGATAGGGAGATATTCCCAATGCAAGGCTATGATGGCTGTTGGAATGGACTTTGCTCTGACTGAATCCGGTTCCTCTCTCCACGCGCGTACAATTGGAGAATCAAGCTCACACCGTTAGCGCAATTCTTGCAGCCTTGGGAATAGGACTGGCAATGGGGCGGGGAAGGGCCCTGCCCCCGCAAAAATCCCCATCCCTATCCCCATTCCCGTTAATGGGGATAAGGTTATCTCCATCCCCATCCCCGCGGGGATCCCCATTCTTCATGATTTTTTATAATGTTATTCATTTTGTTTTTGTTTTTTATTTTATTTAAAAAAATAAAAATAATTAGAAATTACAATCTTATTAAAAAAGATTCAAACATATTTGTCGACACAAATTTCGTGTATTTCAATTAGCAAAGAATATGGAGACAAATTACAAAAATAAATTTGTAATAAAGAAAACAAACAAGGGAACGAACTCTCTTTGATTTCTACTCGATGACGTGAACAACCTCTGATTAACAACCGAATTTGGTGAAGACGAGGGCCATTGGCATTTTCTCGTACTTCTTGAAGTGTTTGAAGTGTTGATGTAGATTTCCTTGATTTCAGTGCTTTGGGAGATTTGGTGTAGATTTCTTCACTCTGGGCTTCGCGCTTGATCGACTATGAAGGATGCTTCTCTAAGAAGGGTTCCTTTTGTGGTGGCTTGATCTTCTCTGGAAAACTTGAATCCAAGTGTGTTGTAGAGAACTAATAAGCTTTTCCCTTCTTTCTTCTCTCTGAATCTTGTAGCTACTGGAGGTTGCAGGAGCTTGTGGTTGCTTGCAATCTTCAGTGATGGTGTCTAAGATCTTCTTGTAGTGTGATTCTCTCAAAAAGGGAAAAATGAACCACTTCTCTTCCTAGGCAAGGCTATTTATCGCCAAGGATTAAGGCTGCCACCTCAGCCCACTTAGCTAATCAATCCCATGTGAGTGGGGTGTTAGGTTAGCATTAACTCCAATACATGCAGCATTATGTAAGAGTTAGTGGTCTTACCAATGGGACCACCCTATTACAATAGGAGAGGGGCCAGATTGAACTTAATACACTTGGATCCTTAAGCCACCAAGACATATTTATGTAGACTAGGGCCTTGGGCCCATGGAGGCCCATATTATTTAGAGGCTATCATATAAATTAAACCCACTTATTTGGCTTCAAAAAATTCACATGTCTACGATATTCAACCATATTTCTAAAAATATTAATATATACATGTATATTAGTGGGGATCCACGGGGCGGGGACCGATGTCCCCGCTAATAGGGATGAAAATTTCTCCATTCCCGTCCTCGTAGAGGAAAATCCTCCCCATCCCCGCCCCATTCGGGGTGGATCCCACGGGGATCCGGGAAATGGGGAAAATTGCCATCCCTACTTGGGAATATCTTCCGATGAAAAAAGCATAGAGATATTCGCAATGCACGACTATTGAAAGGCTATGCGAATAGAGTGACCTCAGTCTTGTGAGCATTGAAGTCGATCCCTTAATAGACTAAATAGACAACGGCACATTGCAAATCACAATCATAGAGATATTCCCAAGGCCATGTTTGGGAGTGCTTATGTTAAAAATAAGTGCTTAAAAACAAGTGCTTATTCAAATAAGCACTTATTTGTATTAATTTGGCACCCAACTTTTTCAAGTACTTATTTTAAAAAATAAGCACTTATTTTATATTGGGTGTTTGGTGGTCTTTTTCTCCAATAAGCACTTAAATAAGCAATTGTGACTATTTTGTCCTTCATTTTCTTTCAAAATTTCAAAATATCCAATACAGAGTGAATGAATAAAAGTACTTTTATAGAAGTGCTTTTATAAAAGTACTTTTACAAAAGAGATTTCATAAAAGTAATTTGATAAAAAAACTTCCATAAAATACTTTTTTAAAAGTGCTTTTGTAAATAGTTCTTCTATAAGTCCTTTTATAAAATCACTTCGGTAAAAGTGCTTTTATAAAAGTATTTTCATAAAACTGCTTTTATAAAAGTGTTTTCGTAAAAGTGCTTTTATAAAAGTGCTTTCATAAAAGTGCTTTCATAAAAGTGCTTTCATAAAAGTGCTTTTATAAAAGTGCTTTCATAAAAGTACTTACGTAAAAGTACTTTCATAAAAGTGCTTTCAAAAAAGTACTTTCATAAAATTACTTTTATAATAGTGCTTTCGTAAAAGTACTTGTAAGTACATGTTGTTCACCACAACTGCGATTAGTGTGGAGGTATCAAGCCAGAACCACAGAAACACCCATGACGACACATAGGCCAACACGGGTCTGCGATGAAGTCCATAACGCACCATGGACCTATGATAAACCCATAATCCAACAAACACTCATGATCAGTTCGAAGCCATCACGGACCTGTGATGGACAAAAAACACCATCAACCAAAGCCGCTCGTAGCAAGAGATCTAGCAAGATTAAGCATGACACGTCAAACTAGTCCTGAAGTCACCTGCACCATGTCAATATAGGAGACCCGTGAAGGGAAGTAGCACACTTGTACTATGAAAATCATCAGAGGTAAGGAACCTTCGTCCTATAAAGATCTCATGAGACTCAGGCCGAACCCCTTGCAGTGTCCCCTTGACAACCAACACCAAATCAAAAATTCCCATTCCATATAGGAGTCAAACCCTCTTTGACTCCTTCCCTTCAGGGCCTCGGGATCTTCCCTTATAAAAGGGGGTGTGGATCATAACAAATACACAATTCTGTCAATAGAAGATGTTAGCTTACCTTTGTTACCCAAGACTCCTAGCCTTTCTTCGTCCTTCAAGGAGACCACCACACTTAGCCTTACCACACCACCTACATTAGAATCTTTGGTTCGTCCTTGATCGCAGAGGATGGATGCTCACAGAATCAACCTTTTCCATGTCCAAGAAGAACAATCCAATAATCTTGACAATGGTAACCCAGGAGTCAAGGACCAGATTAGCCAGGAAACCACTAACCAGGCCGATATCGAAATCTTGGCCAATAAGGTGTACAACTTCGAAACTCGTTTCGACTGTCTAGAATTGGTGCAAATCGAAATGAGAAACACCCTACAACGACAACTAAATACTCCCCATTCATTCCTGCTGTCCCTTCTATGTCCGTCCCTGCTAACCACCCTAGAGGTCTGAACCCTGGAACGATTGAGCATCCATCTAGAGCCAACCTTGCACCTGCACCAGACACAATACAGAGCACCCGATTCTCCGCTGTCAAACAACTTCACATAGTCCCATGGGGTAATGCGACAACGGCGGCGCCCATCAGTCGAATGGAGACAAGGGAATATGTCCAGGGCCTGGTGGAAGAAAGTTATAATAGAACCTAGCCCATACTCATACTCTAGAAACCTTACTCCAATTGCATCTTATACAAGCCATATCCCTCTGGTTACGTTCCTTCGCAGTAGTGGCCACAATATGACAGGTAGAAAGGTATCTCTCAAGAACACGTCAACAAGTTTGAAGATGCACTAGGAGTGTTTGCCTTGGATGGAGACTTAAAGGTTCGGGAGTTCTCTAAATCCTTGACCGGACTGGCGTATTCATGGTTCGGTCAACCTAATGGTGCGGAGCATCGACTCGTGGGCCGAGCTAGCAAAGAAGTTCTTGCCCAAGTGGTTCACTCTCGATCAGAGGCTGACAATGGCAGACCTATGCAACACAGAACAACGTGTTGGAGAAGACCTTTTGGCATACGTTATGCAATTCCAAAAATTAATGCACTCGGTCTAAAAGAGCATGTGACAGAAAAAAGGCTTTGTGGAGTAGTGCTTCCAGGGGATGCACCCAGCATATAGAATTGGGATCGAGAACGTCGAAATCAAAACCTTCAACCAACTCTGGAAGCGCACTAAGAGAACAACACGGCCCATCACTACCCCAACATCACAACCAATCTCATTAGGGTCGTAGTACACTAGAAACGAGGCATATGTTGTCGATCGCAAACCCTAGAACACCAAAGGGCCCTACTTTGACCCCCTCCCCGTGCACTCATGAGGAGGCAGGGTAAACTTGGTCGAATTGTCAAGAGGTGATCACACAAGACACGTTGATACAATAGTCTGAGTAGAACCTGGACCTGCAGCAGTTTCTCAGCAAACAGGGGGCCAATGCCACGGTGAGACAGCTCGCTCTCATGGCACTAGCGGAAGCTTTCAGGAGACCACTCGAACCTTGCTGCATAGACAAGTCCCATGTGGAGTTCACCCCATATGACATGTTGGCCATAGACCCCCATCACAACCGGCCCCTGTATATCACGACCAAAATAGGGGGTACGAGATAAGATGCTCATTAATTGATCAAGGAAGCTCTTTGAACCTAATTTCCCTCCACACCCTCAAGCTCATGAATATACAAACAGAAAATGTCAGAGGGCTGCCCATGGAGGTCACAGATTTTAACGGAAACACGTCTGTCATTGAGGGGTCAATTGATTTGCTAGTAGCCATTGGACCTTTCTTCATCAACCAGGAGTTTTAGGTAATCACTGGAAAAAACGACGTACAATGCCCTGTTAGGGCAACCGCTGATACACGGCATGTCGTTAGTCCCGTCCACCTACCACCAATGCATAAAAGCCAAGCACAAGGGTTGCACTATTAGGATCCCAGCCACTCACGTCCCGTTTGACAAATCAAAGGCCCACTTGCATGACGCCTTATAT